TCCTTAAAACTGCAACAGGCACCTTGGGATCTTCAACAGGGGGCTTAGGGGGGTTCTGAGGCGGAGCTTGGCCAGCTTGCTGCCAAGCCCACTGGCCAGGCAGAGGAGGTGCAGCCGGCAAAGGCTGCTGGTGAGGCACTTGCCCTCCATTAAACATTGCTGCCATGGCATTCTGCCTTTCCTCAAGACAACTGGCGAGAGCCTGAGCTTGCAGTCTGCGCTCGTGCTGCGCAGCCGCTTCAAGCTTCTGTTTTTTGTATTCCTCATACCCTGGTGAATCCTTGGCAGCTTTCTGAGAAGATCTGCGCCGCTCAGGCGTCTCCGAGCGAGATTTCGAGCGACGACGGCGATGACGAGAGGAGCTGGCCCTAGAACCTCTGTTCGGAAAGTAGTAAGCGTCAGTGCCGCGGTGATCGTCTCTTGCTCGGTGCTGTCTGTTCTGCCTTGGCCCCCAGCCGCGGTCAGGGTCTCCCTTTCTGCCGGCCTCAGCGATCTGTCCGCCGATTAGGATGGCAGCCACGATGATGAAGCGCAGCGAGGGTTTCATGGTGCCGACAGCTACGCGCGAGAGAAGGCTACAAAGAACCCGTAAGCCAAAAGAACTGAGAGGACAAGTAAATGAACCAGCTACCGGCACTTACACCAAACCCTGGTGGCTCTTCGGAGGGCGCAAAACACTGGATTACCTATTGGCAGGGAATGAATTAAAGCTCGCAGCAAGGCAGGGGGATACCCTTCCAGTATCAACTCTTGCATCTCTTCCATCATCGCCGCAATTTGACGATGCTGAGGAAGGGCCAACTCGGACAAACGTGTAGCTCGACCTATTAGGATCCCCCGCAGAACTCCGGAGCCTACTTGCAAGCGGCCCAGATACGGCACGTACTTCTCTTTCTGCTTGTCAGCAGTCCCTAGAATCCAGGCTCGGTTTGGGTTCTTGGGCGCCCATGTCACCTCTCCTGTCTCTTGGCAGACCTGAAAAATCACATCTGTCCATGTACATTCATTCTCTTCAGGATTGATCTCAAAGCTCACTGAGTACAGTGCCACCACCAATCTTTGGAGGCATTCATGGCAGAGGCATCTTGAAACCAGAGCCAAGTCGTCTACGTATCTCATCGCCAGAAGGGCTTGGTGAACTGGCCAACCTTTAGGCAGGAAGAACGCTGCAGGTCCTTGTCCATTGAAGAAGCGGTGTTCTTCTTGCGAAAGCAAGCATACCGCCGCGATCATGGACAACAAGCCTCCAATCAACAGGCCCTGCGCTTTGACAACTATATCTCCTAACCAGTAAGCAGGCGAAACGAAGCATGCAACTCGTCCACAGGAGACGGCGCAGTTGCTGTACTGAGAAAACCACGAAAGAGGAAGACCTTGTAAGCGGATTTCCTCCCGGCCATCCAGCTACTGAAGGGCCTTTTCTCACTGTGACTGTTTGGACACCGTGCAAAGCTTGGAGCGCCTCTGCTCTTGCGTCGAAGGACGCCAGTACCAAGTCCGGATTGATTTGCTCGTACATCTGGGCCGCATCTGCAATGAGCATCGTTGTCCGGCGCTTGGGGCCCTGACATCTTTCACAAAATCAAGGGCAGCCAGATTCTTGCAGCTCTCGGAAACCTTTTTGGAAAATGGGGATGATGTCTCGCATGCGCCATACTGCGAAACCTTGTCCGGTGGCCATGATGAGAACCTGCAATGCGCGGCCTGCTAGGCGCCAAGATCGCCTCCATGGAGCATGGAAGAAACTGATGACTTTGCGAAAACAGGAATGGCGAATCTTCTTGCAAATGCGACCTCCAGCTGCTGCGTAGCACTTGGCCTTCACAAAAGGGTACATATATGGGGCATACGATGCCGCTTTTACAGGGCCCTTCCTTAAGTAGGCCGGCAAAGCAAACATGGAAGCTCCAAACACCAGAGTGCTCAGTTGCCCACGGGTCAAGTCACAGACCTCCCAACGCTCGCGGTCAAGAAGCACTAGACTTACCAGGACTGCTGCAAGGCATGCGGAAGGCATGCTCCACGATCGCCGCTTGTCCTTGTCGTCTGGCACTATCACCTCGTCACACGAACGGAACATGTCTGAGACATACCGCTCTTCTTCCACTGGTACTGTGTCGAAGCAGCCTCGGCGTCGACTGCCAGTGAGCAGTGCGTTCCGGCACTCTTTACTTGCACGACGATCTAAGTTCTGTCTTCGGCACCAGTTCTCCAGCTCTGACGACATGGTCCGCCATGAGTCCTTGGTCTTTTCGCGGTCTGGGACTGCCCAATTGCCCGGGAGACGTTTGACTTGCTCTCCGCGGCGGTGTCCCTCTATGGCAAAGCAACCCGATTTGCAGATGTCTGAAACATCAATATGCTTTGCGACCTGCACATGGTTGCGATGTTCACTACAACGAGGCAATCCAGTCAAAACAAACCTGCTTCGCTTCATGATCCAAGAGAACATGAACGACCCATGCTTCATAGCCATGCGCAGTGCCACTCGGCGCACTGCCTTCTTTGCTGCGCGTAGGATTTCTGGCAGTGGAGACTTGAACCAACTTAAGCCTCGTTTTGGCATTCTCAGTCTGTGAAGCAATCGGTCGACATGCTCAAAGCCTCTTGATTGCCTGACATAGCCCTCCACCATTTGGACGAGAGCAGCCAAGCGCACGACAGCATTCTGTGGCGACCGACCCTTGAAAAGCAGTCGCAAGCTCAAGACACTGTTCTTGGAGCATGCCCACAAAGCCAGAAGGCCTCCGCGGCGAGATGAGTAAATGTTGACCGGACCTGCTGTCCCACTTTTGGCAAATAGCTCCTGCTGGGCTCTCCTGTAGGCATCTGTGAAGCTATTGACTGTCCACAACGGGGCTTGCAGACCGGCAGCTCGACCTCTGGACAGATTCACCTGCTTCATTATTCTGGAAGGATGTCCTGCAGCGCTCCAAAAAGAAAACCTTTGTCTGTGCCGGAATCGCTGCGGGGGTCTGCCACGTCCACGGGCCCTGCGCCGTTCCCGTCCAGGACATTGGCCAGCATTGCCATTGGGCCGTAAGTTGCGAATGACAACTGATTCTGAAGCCTTAATCCAGTCATGCGGCCCACGTTTGGCCACCAGAAAGCCAATGCTATTCGCAGGTTTCTGGCGGAACAAAATGGCACGTACAGACCTTGAAGACGGAGCACCCTTTCGCAGAATTGACATGAAGTGCTCCATGATTCTGGACGGGATGCCATTCTTTCCTTTCGCTCTGTGCAAGAGAGCCTTTCCGATATATCTGGTGCTGTTGTTGAAAAGGACGTAAACGACTGCCTCATTGTCCTGTCCAATTCCCTCAATAGCTCCACCCAGCACTGACAAGCCAAGTGCAACTGTAGCCGGGCTTAAGGGGTCTTCCGAAATACAATCGTACACCGCTTGTTGGCAACAAAGCAAAACCCGAAGGGCCCAAGGCTCTTGTCTATGACTTCTCAGAAGTATGAGCCCATGTAAGGTTAGAGCCGTTGCTAAAAGCAGGTGCAGTCCTTTGTGATGTCGGCAAGTCTTCAATGATGCAGGGAAAATCAGTTCCAGCAGGGCTTGGAGAAACTTCCTGATCAACCTGAGCATATGCGTCATTGCCCGCGGGGACTGCGAGCACAACAAAGCATGTCTCGTTTGCTCCCACATATCATCGAGCAATCTTTCCAGCGTGTTCTGTTCATGCTGCCAGGGTCGTTGGCATGTGAGAGAAAGCCAGAGCGAGCAGATCTGGCAAATGCACCGTTGCGTTCCTCCTCTCTGTGGCATATTTGTATGTAGCACAAGATTTAGCAAACGAAGGGTTGAGAAAAATGGAAGAAGGATTCTTCGTGACAGGCCGTAGATGTAGCTGTGCGCAAAGCGTCTCAGTTCCACCCGGATCTCTGGCACGTAGTGGTCGCACTGATGACAAAAGCAGCGGTAACCCAAAGGCACAGAATGAATCTCAGTGGATCGTATCACAACGGATACTCTCGGCACTTACAATACCTGGATCACGCCACTTGCTTTTGCAACGGAGACCCACGTCGTGTGCGCCTTTCTGGAGAAAGGCTTGAGCGCTAGCCTAAGCCTCCGTGCTGCGGATGCCACAAAAACTTCTTCAAAGGAGCACTGGCGACTGTCTTTCAGGAAGTAAGCAGGGCAGCAGAAGAGCTACAACCCGTCTTAACACTTATATCCCGAAGGGAACAGCCATGAGTGATGTCGCCGCTGTGCTGCAAGGAGTTCGCTTCAAAGAGTGCAGGCGACGGTAATCGTACAGTGCTTGGGGCCATCAGGGGATACTATCCATGATCGGTTGAAGAAGCTATCAACAAAGTGCTCTGCGGGGTTGAACGATCCGTTGGCCTTGTCAGCTGTGTTCTGCTGTGGCCCTGCTACTGAAAGCGGAAGTGAAGGACAGAAGAACCGTCTTAACACTCGTATCTGCAGGGAGATATACCTCAAGGAAGGAAGGGCAAACTTTCGCAATGTGCACCTTAAGCTCGAGGAGATCAGACGGACGACCCCGATTCTGTAACCTGTGAGCGCTTGATATCTGGCACGAGTAGCTAGGAGCAGTTAGGACAGACACATGGTCTCGGCAACGCCTCGAAAATCCAATCTGCGGACATCGTTAGCCTCGCTGCAGCTGGGGCTTTGCCACCATCATGCGTCAGCTCCCACTTCTTTGAACTTGTAGTCAGCTCGAGGTGATTTGAGCTGCGAGTTCCTCTTCCAGCCTGTGGAGCTGCTGGATCCTGCACCCGGCTGTAACAAGGAGGTGATCGTCAGCTACACCTGCCCAAATCACCTAACGAGACGAGGCTGCATTCGAGCCGCTTGCTCTGAGGCAGGGGGAAGTGCATGGTCACATGCTCCAAACTTAGGTACGAGAGTAGAGCCTTGGTTGCACCATGCTGTTGCCACGTGATGCAGCAGTCGACTCTCTGAACAGCCTTTGTGAGGAGCCCGGCTGACTCCAAACCAGACGACACCAGCGTCGGTCATGATCCAGTGCCCAGTGGTGTTCTTGCCGTCGCCGGAAGCTTGACAGCATGAGGCACGTCAAGGACTGCTAGGCCGCTGGCTTGCACCAGCTCCGGCGAGTTTCGGGCTGCAAAGGATCCAGTGGCATTGCGTGGTTCTTTACAAGTGGGAAGTTTCTCCCTCAAGCGGCTTGGATCAGATTGAGTGCCAGTTCGCAGTTTGCGAAGCTTGTCAACGAGTCACGAGTCAGTTCGGGGCCATCAGGGGCGTGAGCACCATGTGGCGCCTGCGGCAATTGACCGCTTGCCCCGAGCAGCACGAGCCATCACGATCTCCTCTTCGGCTGCTGCGCAACATGTCGCTGCCTTCGCCAGGCTGGAGCTGCAAATTAACCTCTTTCTTGTCTTTCGCTCCGCCCGTTTGCTTTGTCCTGGCCTCTTGCAGAGCCTCCGCAAGATTCCCACTGCATGTATCTAGCCAGGTGGAACAACTAGCAACTAGCGGAGACAGGACAGACGAAATTGGACAGAGGTCCACAACCGCAGCCGGCAGAGACAGTCGCGACATGACACACAAAGCGGATGCCGCGAATGCGAAACGCCGAACCATGAACTCAAGCTGCATATGGTGGCCACTTCCTCAAGCATGCAGCGCAACAGCTGCGCGCAGTTGCACAGGAAGGCGGGAATTGCAGGGGTCGCGCCAGGATTCGGGTCCTTCAGATCACGGGGAGGTTAACCAGGGCGAGCAATTGATGGCGAGGGTGCCTGGGCGTCGCCTGCGGTGCTCTGGAGAAGCTCTTCCAGGACTCGACCTCTCTCCGCCGTCATGGCTAGATCTTGCCAAACATGCCGCCACGCAGCACACGCAACGCGGTTTCTATCAAGGAGCGGTGAGATGATGGAACATGCTAGCAAGCAGCTTTTCGAACCATGCTCTCGACAAGAAGGACACGAAGAGGTTTTGCTTCAAGTTGGCTTCTTGTGGCGCAGGTGCTGCATCCATTGAGCTTCTTCCCGAAGTTGTTCTGTTCTTCAGCGAGGATGTCTTCATCGGCCGAGGGAAGGCTTGGATGTTCCGTGAGCTGCTAGGGAGAAGCGTCGCTTTTGTGCCAGGCCTTGCTGAGGGAGGTCGAGAAGCTTGCAGGGGGAGCTAACGACGATCCAGATCAGCTACGGGAGTTTACTCTTCATCTTTCGGCGATGGCCAACAGAGCAAGCTATCAAGTCACAACACCACTGTTGCCGTTGACAGTTTACGAAACTTATCCGCAACGGCGAGGCAGTCGTTCTTGTTGCATCTCTGACTTCTCCCAGTCCTGTGTGTTTGAAAGACACATCAACGACGACCCTTGCAGCTAATAGTCGGGGTGGAAGCAGAAGCCGATTGACGCTAGGAAGTGGTTTTGGAGCCGGGCGCCGTGGAAGACGCAGACGGCTGGGCTTTTGCAGGCAAACGGGCTTCGCGGCCCTGCGAGCAGGAAGGATCAAAGCTGTTAGTCAATGCCGGCTCGATGCAGGCTTCCAGGACAAGAGCTACACCTTCAGCACTGGCTTATTCCCAGTGCCTGTGATAGCGCCTCTGGCGAGTACTTCTCTGAGCCTTGGAGAAAAAGAAAGAAGAACGTGCTCTTCCTGTCACGGCCTCTTATGCCTAATGCTTACTAATCAGTTTGTCAAGCAGTTGGTCTGGACGGCGACACCGTCTGATGCTGTTCCAAACGTTTGCAGGTAAGTGTTCAATCTGGACACGGGCTAGACCTCTTAAGGTGCAGTGGAAATGCTGTGAGAGCCAGCTGCAGAATATGGACAAAAAGCTTTTACACGCCAGTTCGCGACGAGCTCTTGAAACAAGTTGCACCAAAGCTAAGGACGGAGGAGTCGCTCGACACCATGACTGTGTCAAGCAGAAGAAAGGGGATTTCGTCCTTCGCAAAGCTTGTGGATGGAGAGCGGGTGTCGCAGTTCTGTGTCATGGGTGCACCAGTAGCTCTGGCCGAGTTCGCGGAAGCTCTGCGTTATTCGTCGGCTCTCCATTGGTCCGGTAATGAGCCAATGCGAATCACAATTGCTGCGGCTTATGATTCGCGAGTGGTGCACTCGGCAGCTGAGAGTTGGATATTAGTTCAGCCGACGAACGACCTCCCTCACATCACCGCTGATGAAGTGTCCTTCCAGGCTGCTTGCCACGTTACCACGGGTCCCTTCTTCATGCCAGAGGTAGGAGCTACACTTGGCAAAGCCAGCTTGAATTCCAAGGTGCAGGTTGGGAGAAGCGTCGCCATCACGGGAATCAACATTTCAGATCCTGATGCCGGCGATCAGACACGATGGATGACTTTGCTGGTGGCAGCTTCGACCGGACGCCTGCGGCTTGAACATTGGTGCGTTCTGCCACCATGTGCCGCCAGCATGCCAGCGAGCAGTTTAGCGGTTCTCTCCCAGGCCTATACTTGGAGCCATCCTTCAAAGTGGAACCAAACGGCACACTCGAACCACTCAAGGCAGGCCCTCTCAGTGTGCCGTTTCTGTTCCTCTTCGATTCCTGTGCTGAGGGACGCTTGGACGGAGACTTTGCCCTCCGTGTGCAAGGAAGCGGGCCTGATTTGCAAGCTTTTGTTGATGCATTGCGCACGGGGCTTGGAGCAGAATGTCGTTTGGACTTTGCAGGGGTCAATGTCGCGGTTTTGGAGTCGCAACACTTTGTAAACTTTGCAAGGCTTCAGCACAGAAGCTCCTGCGAAACCATACCTGGAGCCGCTGCCTCTTGACCAACCGCGGACCGAGGCACACATGCTAAAAAGACACAGGTTTTGCACGTGTTACATCGTTTTACCTGAGTGGAGCGGATGCAAGGCGATTGTCTCGTATATCCTGTCCGACACCATCGGGCCGCAGGCTGGTGCTTTGCGATGGCACCAGGTGGCGGGAAAGGTCGTCAACCCGGAAACTTCAGCACCCATCGAAGACGTAGACGTTGTCCTGATTGCACTTAGGCTGCAAGGTGTGCAGATGTTCCCAACTTGTACGGCCCCTCCCGCCCGAGTCACGACCTACCTCAGGCCAGAGACAAGTGGCATGACTACGAAGGGTATGATGCTCTCGCTGGATGCGATGCCGAAATCACCGGACTTAGTGCCTCGGTTCGGCTGATTGCCTCGGCCAGGGCAAGCACGGTTGGCGATGGATGCATGAGCCTGAGCCTTGCGACAAGCTGAGGTGTTGAGGAGTGCAAGACTCACGCTGTAACCAACAGCTACATTGCCTTCAGCTATGGCCTTTATCAAGCGGGTGGTTCAAAGGCCATGGGCAGCTTGCGCTGTCCCCCATGTGCTGAAATGAAACAAGCAATTGCGAAAGGCCTGTTGTTTCAAGACCGCCGATGCGGAGACCATCTTAACGAACTTAGTGGCTGATGCCAATGCTTGGTGCCAAGATGGTGGCACAGTGTCTGCGGCATTGGCAATGTGCTGGGCAGGGCAGCGCCAGTCCCTGACTGTTGCACGTCTTCGACCAAGGTCGACGTCTATGTTTTCCAACCCGGAGGTTATTCTGTTCACACCAAGACCACTGAGCTGGGGATCTATGCTGCAATCATGCCAACTGCTCCAGCAGACATCTATTTTGCGAAGACTCTTCACGCAACGCGATCTCTTTCTGTTGACGTCCAAGACAACATCCAAGTGGGCCCCGGCCTGAGAAATGGCACGCAGGTCGACTCGGCGCCAAAAGTTCGCATTCATGTGCCCCTTGTAAGCTTGGGCCGAGGTGGCCTTGCAGACATCTACTTACAAGCTCTCGCGGTCGTGACCATCTGGAGGTTTGAGGTGGATTGGAAGTCATCCACGCCGGTGGATCTTGACGCCCACGCTTTCGATGCGTGGGACTGCCACACCTACTTCGCAAACAGGCAGTGTCAGCATGCAGCTCGGCAAGCATGCATGAACAAGTCTCGGAGACGTTGGATGAGTTAAGTGACGTGGGCTCCTGGAATTCGTTTGCAGAGGGAGCACAAGTAAGGACGGGAGTCATGGGCTCACCGTAACCTTGAATCGCGACAATCGAGATGTGTTGCACGGCCGGGAGGCGCCAGACTTTTGCCTGTGTGTCGATGGTTGTATGAATGCCGATTGCCCACGATTTCGCAGGTGATCACGGTTCACCAGTGGCCTTGTGATTCGGACCAAGCAACGATCGGAGGCCGAACTTATGTGGAAGTCTGATGCTTGACAGCTTGTGCTGGTAGGTTACAGAGACGTCTGGAGCTGCTTGGCCCATTTCTGGGTGCAGATCTTCTCGGATCATGGCTTCAGCGACGTGGAGGGCACCGTTAGCGTCTTCCGGGGAGGTGTGCTGATCCAGGAGGTGCAACTTCCAGCAGCCAAGCAGCCAGATAGCTTCTGGATCGGCTTCGTCTTGGAGCTTCGGCGAGATTTGAAGCAACTGCCTCTTTTCTTTGTTGGTCTTTGGCCGTCCTGTTGCATATGACTCGCAAGGACTGGAGCAGCAGCACAGTTGACTCGTTCTACAACCAAGTCGGAGGCGCAGAAGTTGTGGAGAATTTCCTAGGTGCTATCTACGAGCTGCCTCCGGCACGTGATGTGAGACGATTGCGGTTGAAGGAGAACGTTACCTCGGCAGCTTGTCCGGACTGAAGTCTGCGTGTGTGCGAGTGTGAAAAGCGTGAACCATCTTAGGACAAGGCTGTAAAAAGCCAATTCCAAACCTGATTTGTTTTACATCACAACGAACGACATCAGAGGGATGACACCCGACAAAGCCTTTCATGTAAGTCCAGGGATGCCAGGTGGCATAAATGCAGGCCACATAGCCTCGGCGTCGTATACTTGGCTTGACTCGAAACAGGCACGTCAAGCCTTTGCGTGCAAATGCCGAAAACAGAGCAAAGATTCGCAGCAAGCTTGCACATCATGACACAGAGCCAGTAATGATATAGAGCCTTGGCCTGAACGGTGCAGTGCTGAGGCCGCTAAGAGGCAGGGGCCTCTCTGGCGCGAGCGGCTCCGGCAGGCCGGGGTACCTGCTGTTGCCGCCAGGCGTTGCGCCCTCATGCCGGATGCCTCGTCGCCAGGACCTGCTCGCCGAAAAGGAGTCTTTGGAAGCGGGTTCGACTACACAAAAGCCACCTCTGCACTACCATCTTCAAGAGAGGACCGTCCCGCTCGAAGCAGAGTCCTGTGTAGATGTTCACATAATGTTTGCGGTCTATTCTTGGTAAAAGCTCCAGGAGGCTTTCGAGCTGCTCACCTGCAAGCGATCTGGTAAGTCATGTTCTACCCCAGGTGACGTGTCATGCGTGTGATGAACAAATCGCGGAATCTGCAAAGGCGAAGAAGTAGATGCAGGGAATGTTGCTGACGTGGAGGAGGAGGAGGAGAAGGCCCAGCGGTCCAGTCCCAACTGTAAGTTGCAGTTCCCCAGCCGCCAGCCTTTAGGAGCCTTCAGATAGCACTGAAAGGCAGCGTCTCCGAGTCGTCGAGTGGCTGTGATCGGCGACTGTGGGGACGGCATCATCACCAGTGACGAGGACTCGCAGAGCCGGGAGGTCGTCTAGAGTCTAGTTGCCAGACAGGACCAGGGTTTGAAGGTCAGTGAGTCCCGGCAAGTGCAGGAATGCGATGATGGAAACAGCAATGACACAGATGGCTGCTCAAACTGTACAGTGGACGATGGCTTTTATTGCAGAGGGGAGCCTTCCGAATGCAGCGTACACAACTGCTCCGATGGCTTCATTACTTCTGACGAGGACTGCTGGCTCTTGACATGATTCTTGACACGTTGCACCATGCAGTCTGTCCATGGGCCCTTTTGAGATGACTTGTTTCAAGGAGTGTGATGACGAAAACGTTGATGATTTCGATGGCTGCACGTCCGGGTGCAAAGTTGAAACTGGCTATTACTGTTCGGGTGAGCCCTCGGTATGTGCCACTAGATGTCTCCTGGCAGCACCCTAGAGGAAGCTGGCAGGAAAGTAGCGCTTGGTCGAAATTTTATCACGACCAGGCGGGGACGGAAGGAGAATAATCCCGCATGAGCAGTGCGACGATGAGAATGCTTTATCTGGAGATGGCAGCGCGGCTGCATTGCACGTGTCTGCTTGCAATGCAGTCTCGAAGATAGCTGTAGTGAAACCAGCTGGCTGGTGTCGAAGGCTTCCTTCAAATTGATGTGTCTTTCGAGTTTGTGTCTTACCTTGTTCTCTGAGGATGCAGTGCTACATGTCAGATAGAGGCAGGCTATGTCTGCGAGGGTGGCACTGAGATGATCCGGGACCACTGCTATCCGAAATGTGGAGACGGTGTTCGTGTTCCACATGAAAGCTGTGATGACGGGAATACGCAGGAGCTACAGACGGGTTGATGTCTGCTCCTCGCTAGGTGCGCCACATGCGTAAGCACGTCGCCAGGATGGAGATGGTTGCTCTTCAAGATGCCGAATAGAGTTGGGCTACGCCTGCCACGGAGGAAATACCACCCATGTCGACACATGCCGACTCACCGTTTGCGGTGACGGAGTGGTGGAGGCCAGGCGGTTATCCACTCCTGTTGCGCTCCAATTTCAAGAGCTCACCAGTAGCATCCAGTAGCACATCGGTGAGTGGGCTGCTTCTACATGAGCCCACGAGCTGTAGAAGACTGAGAGCAGCTACGGGCAGCTGCGAGCAGATCTTCGAGGATTTTGACCATGACGCATGGTGGGGCAGCATGCCGTTCCTGCGTGCTGCTTCTGCCTGGCAGCATCTGGGGTGGGAGATCAAAACAGCAGGAGGTCGCAAAGCAATTGTTCTTCGCACAACTTCCTTTCTGGAATGGGGTCAGAGATGGTCAGAGTGGGTTTGAGGTTGTTCAACGTCGACGGAAGACATCCCCCTGTCGATAAACATTCCGACCCTATGTCCCACCAAGCCTGTGACACTGAACGTGCTCGCCCAGCACGGAGGGTAACAGGTGCGACTGCATGCTGCACGACCCTTGACTGGTTCGAACATGAGTTTATCCATCCAGACGTGCAGCTGCCAGGGTGCGGAAGAGTGCGACGATTTCAACGATTACGGCGGGGATGGCTGCTCTGCAGTGTGCCTCTGGGAGATCAAGGAAGTAGCCTCCTGGTCGCAGACGGAGGTCATGGTCACCATCCGACCGTTGGGCCAGCTCTGCAGGACAAGCTAATCTGAATTCCCACACATGTATGCTATGCTGGCTGGCCAAACTCTAAACTTTACTCTAAACCTCGTACTCTAGAAAGCTGCATGCAGCTCCTCCCGATTGTTGCCGTTCTGACAGCTGCAAAACCCGTTTTTCGACAATGTTTGCTAGCCTCCAACATGATATGGGGGGAGGGAGTTGAGAGCGAGGAGGTCTCTGCGGCAAGTTGAGAGTGCAGTGTTTTCCTGAAGTGTGTCCGCCGTGCAGGATCTACAACGCGAGAAAGCACCAGACCTTCGAGGATACCACATATCACCTTCAGAACACCATTCTAACAGGTGATGTCTCCGAACCGGACTCTGTTCGAATTCACGTCGAGGTGGTGGACGGCTCGATTGCAATTCGGCCCTTGGTCGAGTTGTATCTGGAGAAAGGGCGCCTCGACTGGCCCGTGCTGGCATGCGCTATCCTGCATGTGAGCTGAGAAGAAGCAGTGCCATCACTGGATAAGCTCCGGCAAAGCCGAGGCGAAACGATTCGGTTTGGGAAGCTATCGTCCAGAGAGAGACAGGTGTCCGGTTCTATCCGTACTCGAACAACATGAAGGCTACACTGGCAGTCGAGTTAGGAATGGAGCTGAAGCTTGCAGAAAGATTCGGGATGCCCTCGCGTGTTGCGAGAGCAGTTTCTCGCATGCCGCCCCTGACTTCCGAACTCATGCCAGGACACCATCATTTCCGGAACTTACTTCGAGGTTGATCGCTTCTTACGCCATTACCTCTACATCGTGCCCTGGTTGGCTTGTTTATGGTAGCATGGGCTTGACACTCCGACTGCGTGGAACAACACGGTAGGTTCTGAAGCAAACTGCAGTGTCTGCTCAAGACAGTTTTCTGTGGTGCAGCCAGGGCACCTGGGACACTGTTGCCAACTTCTGGCTGCTCAGGCTCCAGATCCGGACTTTTCAGGGTACGTGCAGGTGCTTTTCGCGGATCCTCGGCGTTGATATCCGCCTTCCCGCACGTTTGGGCCATCCACCTTGTCGATGTTTCAGTCAGTGCGCAGCTGAGGTGACGTCAGGAATGGTTCTGAATCATGGGGCAGAGGACAGAGAGAGCAACGTGCGGCGATCACATGGGTTCGCGACAGAAGTAGTCAGTAGCTTCACCGCAGCCGTAGCCATCGCAGGAGTGCAAGTACAGCACTGTGATTCAAGTCGCGCCTCGATCGAACGATGAGTTGTTCAGCAGGAGAGAATGCAGTTGCTGCTTAAATGCAGGTGGCTGTCTACGATGATCCGGCATCTGTGATCGTGCCAGAAGAAGTCCAAACCAACGGCTTCCATTGCCTTGCCGGTTCACCATCTTGCCCTTTGGGAGGGATTTCCCTCTATGACCCAGACTGCGAGATGGCCGTAGACGGCTCTTGCTATTTGACCTTGGCCTGCACCACAGCCCTCTTGACGATGCATTCGGGGGCGCCCGCAAGCGTATGAAAAGGCGCGTGAGGAAGAGTCAAGCGGAGAAGTGGTGCTGAGGAGATTGGAGCTCAACGTCACGGCTGGCCAACTATCCATCCCAGGACATCCGGACGGCTGGCAGGAGCACGCCTCAGGGGTGACAAGTCTGTTTTGATATCTCCTCAGTCTACCGATGCTCGGAAATCAGGAGGCAGAGAAGAGCTTGTAGACAAGAGCTGCCACGACATGTCGGCTGAGTCGGTTAAGTGGCTACAGTCTGCTTCTCTGCGGCCTTCTACGAGGAAGTCTTTCCCGGAATGATGGGCCACGCTGCCGGTCTCAATGCCGCTTTGGACCGGCCCCTTCCCTGCAACACTCACGTCGTACGCGCAAGGACTCAGCCGCGAGCTCAGTTCGGGCCAGTCTGAGGTTGGTGTTTTTCCCTCCTTCCTTGCCGGAGGAGGCCTCCTGCTCGTCCCATCAAACCGTGAGCCCGGGCACCACCGCAGCATTGCAGGACTCCATCTTCCACGTGACGGTCAACCGGGTAATAGAGCGTGACCTGACCTGACGTTCTTAAAGCAAATCTGAGCAGTCTGGGTGCCGGGTACAGTAGTGAGCGACTAAAGCGAATCGGCTGGATCAGAGCACGAGGTACGATTGCGACTCCTCCGAGCTTGCTGCCTGCTTCGACATCCTTGGCCCTGTCGATCAAGATCCAGCCGGCAGACACGCCACCAACCGTGGGCTTGGCCTCCGGCAAGCTGGATGCAAGACTTCTGTCTAGCTTCAATGAACTCGCACAAACCTTTAAGCCAGTCAGTGCTGGCGTCACGGTCTACTGCCCCAGCGTTCTTTGCCGACGATGTCATATGACTCGTGCATTTCTAGATTTCATGTTCAGGTCAGCCCTTTCATGGGGCGCTGTTTGTCGTTGAGGGCAGCAAGCCTTACCAGTTTACAAGTGGCTCAGCCGGATTCGTGTGCAGCTGAATTGGAGGGAATGGTCCGTCGATGCAGATCCGTTTTTGCTTGCGGCACTCGCCCCTGCCAAGATATCGTCTTTGAGCCACCCGGTGCCAGCTCTACCACATGTGTTGTGGAGCTGCGGGTTTCGAGAGGCACCATTGGCAGACGTAGGTCAGTGCCGATCGGGCCGTCCAATTCAAGCGCCGAAGCTCGCATTGACGGCTCATACCTGTGCAAATGCTGGCAGGTATTCTGTTCCTCGGAGACACCGAGGGCCTCTGGTTTGCGGATGGCACCAACAACGGTGAATCCCGACTCCGGTTTGTTGGGGACAGCTCAGACATCCGCAATCGGTTTTTGGCAGATGTACGCTGCCTGCCTGAGATTGCAACTTCGTCACAACACAAAGCATGCTGCCTTTGATCCAAGTTCGCGGTTGCCGATCCTTTGGCTATTCATCTTTTCGTGCCATGCTTCCTGTTAAGGCTATGCATGGGATGACAACGACTGCTCGAACTTGGAGCAGTTCAACATAAGTGTAGTCGCTCAGTCAAAGCCAGACATGGCATGTCCGCCTCTGCATGTTCATAGTTGCGTATAGTCGCCGTGTGCGACGGCCAGGACAGTGGAGAGCATCAAGCCTTGACTCTGATCTCTATGCTGGTCTTGCCAAGTTGCCAAGGCCGAACAGAGGTCAACTGGGAGTGCAGAGCATGGTAATGCGAGAAATGTGTGAGTGCCACAGGCTACGAGGTGGAGTGGCTTGGTGGAGCATTGACCTTGGAAGAGGACTCTGAAATCTCCATCGGACACCTGGCCGTGTCTTGAAAGGACCTGGAATCGGTTTGGGGCTTGTCTGTTTTCTTGCTGAAACGGCCGGTTGGTAAACGCCTACAGCCCTTGTCATGCGTGGAAGTCAGCTTCTTCAGGTAAGTACCAAAGACCTGGATTTGTTCCTGGTCGTTGATGTGAAACACCCTCAGGATGTAGCAGGCCTTTGATGTTGAGAATCGAATGCACGGAATCACATAAAGGGTCCGACCAAGATCTGCCGTGGAGGTGACTGCAAGGTGGTCCGCTGGCCCGAGGCAGCGGCAGCCCTAGGCTCGATGTTGCTTTTTTTCCCATACCCTCGGCCCCGGTGGGCCGACAAGTCACCGAGGTTCCGAGTTTCATGCCTGGGCGTGAGTGTCATTTGGACGGACTCATCGGCGACCTGAGCGACACTTTGCGGCTTGCCTTGGAGCATCTCTTTTGCTTGCAAACAGTCAGCGAAGCTTCAGGAAGGCGCAGTAAGTAGTTGAAGGCAGCACCTCGTGTACAAGCCTCCGCCGGACTTTGTGGGGCACATTCAGCTGCAGTTCGTGATTTACCGGGCAGAGGCCAGAGCCACGTGCAGCACCGAAGCGGCTTGACGCGTCCAGAGCCCTGCTTTCTGCAAGCCAAAGACAGTGCAACAGCAGCAGTGAACCTGTGGCAGTTGTGGTCCAAATCTTGCAGGTGAAGGACGAAATTCTCGGAGTGGAGAGCTCGCGCGGAATGCCAATAACAATTTCAGTCGACATTGAGGCGGGGACGCGGCATCAATTCTGCCGAGCCCGATGCAGAGTGCAGATGTACGGTTGATGTCCGTGAAGGTCACCGGCGTGAATGACGCACCCGCTTTGGAACTTGATCTGGACTCCTACACATTCGAGGAAGACACGGACGATTATGTCTCTCTTGGCCCGATGTTCGTCAGTGATTCCGATGCTGGTGCTTCGGCTTGGCGGTTTCATGATGTCACCCACAGGTCATTGAATTGCTTACCTTGTATCTTCTGATTGAGGTCAAAATCTGATGAGCTTCAGGTTTGAGCTGGTATCGGGCCACGAGTGGAACAGGCTGATGATGTGTGCTCTGCCTGCAGAACAGCCGACTAGAGCCTGTCTGTGTCGGATTTGAACTTGTGCCAAAGAAGTACTGACGAAGGGTGTTGAGGGTAACCGGCTTGGTGTGTGCCAAGGCGGCCTGGTTGGAGTTGAGATCGAGGAACCCTGGGAGAACATGCTCGATGAAGCGGGATGCTACACGACTGCAGCACGCACTTGACAAAGAGACTGCTGCAAAGTCACAGGTCCCAAGATTTCTTGAGGTTTGGATATGGGGACTTCCCTCATCCACTTCAACACGACCGTGGAGAACTTCAACAGCAGCCTCAATCCAGAAAGCTAGATCAGATATTACAGGGCGTGTTGGTTCAGTCGTAGCCGCCTGATTCAAGGCATGCAGACCGGGCCCGGCAGGCTGCAGTTCAAGCCTGCACCAGATTGGCAGCTTGGTTGAAGTGCCTCCCTCTCCCTCTCCTTTTGTGATCGCCAAAGCCCAAACCCGAGTTGTGAGAGTGAACCCGAGGCATGGCTCCGCAATGATCAACATCACTGTGGACGACAAGGGTGCCTTGGACCTCATAGGCACTACTTGCTGCGTGGAAGACTGTCAGCCATGAAATCGCTGCTCTCGGAAGAACCAGGCAGCGCACATGGCGAGCAGCACCGCCTCACCGTCCAACGCTCCCTCTACGTCGTCGTTGAACCCATGATCGACAAGCCAAAGCTCTCCATCCTCTGTCCGGAGGCACTGCCATTCCTCGGCTACGGCAGGACGCAGGGTCGACCCCGTGGATTAGAGCTGAGGGGTGTCCGCCCCATGCGAACCTGTCATCCCGAGCCTGAATCTTCGCGCAGCCCAGCACACAGGCTGAATCTGACCGGCCTCCATCAATCCCGTTGCGCAAGTGTTCATTGTGACCAGGACGTGCTTGGAAGTTCGAGAGTGTTTCGCCCTGAACGCAAGTCTCGACACGCACGAGCCTTGGCAAGATAGCTCTCAGTACTTCAGACAGGACAATGAAAGCATGCAGGTTTGTGGGACACGGGTATGACCGTCCTATTTGCACTTGTTCTTGAAGATGAGAGTGAAAAGCACCGTTTGAGCGGAGGACACGGGCCTCAGTTTCTGGATGGTAATTGAAGCCAGTGACCCTGGCGTCGGCATTTCTCTGGAAGATCGAGCACCCGTCCAGGCGTCGCAATTGGTCGTGCATTGTGGCTGCAGTTCTTGTGTGGCAAACTGATGTCTGGATAGGTGTGGCGCGAGGGCACATCAACTGTGCAAGTTAGTGGCCTCTACCACAATGTGCAACAGGTGGCTTACCTGGCTGTGCGAGTCTTGGGTGTTGGGTAGTTGTGTTTGTCTCAAGTGCGAAGATGACAGGCACTACGGGCGTTGATTTTCCGACCGCCAGTGCACCTCTTTGCTGCTCCGGATGATCCCGACGTTTTCGAGTTTAATGTTTCCATCCAGGCTTTCGCCATTGGTGAGCGATTCAATGAGCCTTTGCCTTTGGATCCTGGTTTGATACACGCACGGCCCGGCCTGCATCACGGGAAACCATATCCTAGTGACAGCATCGACTTCCCGGTAGTCATCCGGCGTGTGAACCGCGCGCCTCTAATCTTCGTGGACGTCGACCACTACTCTGCCACGCAGATGCAGGACGACGTGAACCTGTATGGCGTTTCGGTGATAGATCCCGATGCGAGGGCGCAAGACGAGTTTGAAGTTGTCATTTCTGTAGAGTCTGACTCGGGCGGAGGTGCTGTGGCCTTTGCTGGCACCCAAGGCCAGGGCGAGTAGGAGTTAGAGTTTGTTCGCAGCTCCTTTTCTGTGTCCCTGTTCCCTTCAGGCACCTACGTGCAGAAGCGCATGACGCTCGCTGAGCTGAATGTGGAATTGCAAGACCTGTTCTTTATCTTCCGGGACGTCAACTGGTATGGCACTACTGGGGTTTCAATATCTGTCTCCGATCTAGGCAACAGAGGTTGGAACATCAACCGTTACAGCGACATGTATCATGAAGACATTTCCCCGCAATCCGTCGCACTGAAGGGGGGAACAATGACCATCGTGCCTGAGGACACCCTCTGGCATCACAGCCTTTTTGCACAGGACTTCACCTGGGAGTTGTATGGTAAAGTGATGCCCAGCGTCGACGACATTCGGCCCACAACGTTTGGGACGACGCCTCCCCCTCCCACATTCCAGCCATACGACCTGGAATCTGCCTTCGATGGTTTACTTTTCAGAAACGATTACTTGGGTGACAATATTTCTGCTGGTGTCGATGACCCTTCCTGGGGTGCAGAGAATGCCAGCGACAGGCCGCTGTGCTCATTTTCAATCGGAAGCGATGGTCGCCTTAAATTTACACTTCTGTCGGAGGAAGGGCGGCTGCAGGGAACTGGCAGGGCATTTCTAGAAGAAGGCACCTGGTACCACCTGGCACTCATTGTCAGGCGCAGAAGCCGAGATGTAGACATCCCTCCGGCAGAGTCGGAAGCAGACACCACTCTGGGAGAGGTGGCAATCTACGTGGACAAGAAGCTGGATGCAGCTTACCGATGGAGAGCCCCGCAGCGGTTTGTAGGGCCAACCCGGCGCAGCGCACTGCAAGTCTCTGTGGGGAAATCCGATGGACTCGTGCTGTCGCGCGCGAGGCTGTGGCCAAGGGCCCTGGAAGCTGGAGACCTTGCACAGTGTGCTGAGCCGTTAGGATCAGTTGCAGGTGGACCGGAAGGATTGGGCGACGCACGGCCCAGAGAAACGCTCCGTCCCTTCCCTCACTTAGTTGGGGCTGAGGCGCTTGATTCTCCTGCGCTAAGTTTCAGCTTTGGTGGTTCGTTGGCGGAGGCATCAAGACGCGCCCACGTCTTGTCTACTGGCAGCTGGTCGTTTGTTGCTGACTCTCCACCTGCATGTTTGGGCTTGACACAGGCACCGTACGACAACTTCTTCGAGTACTGTGTTGCATATGACCATGCATTTTCGCGAAACATGGGAGAGGGCAATACTGGTGAACCGTACTACTTTTGGCAGTCGCCGCAGGCCTACCAAAGCTTGGACATGCAATTGTATGCCTCTGCAGGTGTTAAGAGTGTGGAGGCTGGTGAGCTGACGGCAGGGACCTTCCTGTCAGTCCATCGCAGCTTCGTCAACGAGCCGCCTCGCATCGTGATGTTAGAGCCGAGGAGCGGTCTCTTGCATGTTTTCGAAGACCATGCGAACTTCATGTCGTTTATGGTCAAGCATAAAGCAGCGGAAAACTTGGTGGATCGGGACTTGACCGTGTTCCTTTCCACATCCCACGGAAGGGTGCGTACGATCTCGTCAGCCGCGATTCCAAAGTCATCTCTGGACGGAAAACGCGTTGAGTTTACAGCCAAGCTGCATGAATTAAACGCTTTCCTTTCTCAGCTTCAGTATCTCCCGGACCCGAACTATAATGGTCCTGATTTGATGGACATGCTGGTTACAGACGGCGCCGCTAGGCTTGAATGGTCTTGAACGTGCCACATGCCTTTGTCTTGGGCTCCAGATTGCACAAACAGGACCAGGCAGGTGCAGCTATGTAGAATGCTGTGCACAAGGAGTTTTCTGTGAACACCAGCGTCCAAGTCGAGATCGAGACAATGAGCGATCCAATCACAATCGTGTGCCCACCCGCCGTGGACTTGTTTGAGGGCCAGATGGAAGTTCCGATTGGCACCAACATCTCCATACGCCTCTCAGCTTATCTGGCTATTGCGTCCTGCATATCCCGTGTAGAAGTGTCGTGTTTCGTGGAGAGCCCGAGGTGATCATGAGCCTATCCCTGGCTTTGATGATGAATCCAGCCGAGTGGGAGTCGAGATTTTTGCAGGTCCATGGGTGCAGATTCCGTTTGCTAGCCAGTGTCCAGACGTGCAGGTCATAAGACTGTAGTAGACTATAATGGCTGATGCGAGGGGATGGTGGCCTTGATCTGCTCCTGGAAGCAGTGCCTCATTTGGCTGCGGACCTCCGCGAAGCACTCGATGAAGTGCGCAACGACACGTACGACGCGCAAGCAGCCGACGACTCCAATCGCTCGTCACCAGGTTCGAGGGCCGAATGCATGGAGTCGCCGTGATCGTCGCTGCCTTGATTTTTTTGCATCTGCGAAGGAGTGCCGGCCCTTGTCTTCAACACCACTCTCGCCGGTTTCCGCGCGGCACTTCGCGCACTGGTCTTCACACCCTTCCCAGAGCCCAGGTACCAATATGTACAGCACCGAAAAATATAGAGGCAGTTGTCACACCGAAGATCTATCTGTGGAGTCATGCTTTGTGCTTGGAGGGAGGGTGAATCGTGTCCCTTCAACATCCTTGATGCTGCGAGGAACTGTACCATGGAGTTGTGCATTTGGAAGTACGCGTCATCGCTCTGGAGACGGAAGAAGAGACGCGGTGCGAAATCGGCTTGATTGTCCATCCCGTGAACTCGGCACCAGAGATTGCAGTGGATGAGTCCAGACTACTTTCTGCAACGAACGGTGGTCTCGTCAAGCCCCACAAAGACATCCACCTACATGGCGTCATCCGCTTGTGGCCTTGGCCGTGTCAAGCAGTTTTTTGTTTTTTAGTTTTTGTGTTCCCGCAACCCAAAGCAAACAGCATACACATTTTGATTCAGGCGTTTTAAGGTTTTTGAACATATCCCAAGCCGATTATACATCTTGGAGATGGACCCCTTGCCAATTGTAAACGCACTCACACAGAGACGCCACCTTTATTATTATTTGCTTCGATCTGTTTCGTACTAGTGGCTCGCTGCGGGTGCTGTTTTGCAAGGTCCGACCCGGATGAGGAGAACTTCTCCGGCGGCTGGTTTGTTCAACGCGTCCACTCTGCTCGCCTGAAGCTGCGTGCGTCCTGTGGAACACTCTCCTTTCTCATGGCCGGACCACAGGACTACGTCCTTGGCGCCTTGGCTCGTGTGTGGAAGGTTGTCAGAGCAGGGGGCAGGGCAGGCCCCGTGTGTCCTCTGGTTCTTCGCTGTGATGCAGGTGTGCAGAATGGCTCCATTGCTGGCACGGAGGGAATCACGTTCCACAGCGGAGACGGTGCCCATGACACGGACGGGGCCTTACATCTGACGTTTACCTTCTTTGTCGATGCTAGCATGCCATTAGAAAGTCAGGTGCGTCCTCCTCGGAATTCATTGCATGCAAAAAACACCTGCAATCGTACCGACAGGCATGTGTTTCATCTCCACCTTTGACTGCCCCTGCAATTTTAGAGCTTTTTTTCTTCCGGAGAGCCAGACTTCGTGGCAAGCTGTCTCCTGATTGTTGCCAAGGACATGGATGTGACTTCCACGCTGAGAAACCTTAACCTCCAGCTGAGCAGGCTGTTCTATCACTCTGGAGGAGCAGCTCGGACTGAAGAGGAGACTCTCGATGCTCCCGCGGCCTGCCATGAGCGACAGCTTGCTTGCAGCCGATCACTTGCTTTCAGGATTGTCGTGGTGAGAACATCACTATCGCTGTGGAGCTCGACGATCTGGGCTTTCTGGCTAAAGCGACACAACATCCCGCAAGACCATCTCTTGCTTTGTGCAGAACACCAGCCGAGGCAACTATGGGGCATACAAAGATGAGAAGCTTGGCCTGACCGGGCTTTATGTTTCTTCTGCAGGCCGCGAAGCAGGCTCATGCAGGGAAAGAGCTTAGGATGGGCAACTACGGCCATCCTCATCCTATCGTCGTGACAAACGAGGCCGTCTGACTTTCAGAAGAGTCGAGTGTGCTGCTTTCTGTGCATCTCCTCGAGCCGGCGCGCAGCTGAGGTTTACTTCCAAGTGTTGGAATTCTAAACCCAGTGGTGTATGAATAGTGTGGCGGGCAGCTTCTTGTCGTCACCAAACTTGTACAAGCTCCAGCTCGCAAAACAAGACTCACGTCTCATGGCCAGTCATGGCTGGCATGTAAACTCAAGTGCAGTAGCTGACCGCCAGAAAACGAAAGGTGTTGTGTGCCGGTCACAAGAACCGGCCTGAAAGTCCATGGGACCTCAAACGAAGTCCCCACGGCTTCCGCTTTCGGAGACAGCGATGACCCTTGGTTTTGCCGTTGAGGCCTAAGGTTTGCAAGCCAGGTCCGGTCTGGATAAGCTTACAAGCAGAGGCAGGGCTTGTGTAGTTGTGGCTGTCTCCTGCATGGCTTTCGGATTTCGTCTGCGGTGCAAGCCGTGCCGCCGTTAATGCTGGCGTGCCCGAGTGGCACTCTCTCTCCTCCCTTGGCAGACCTCCGAGGGGTGCGCCTTCGGAACTTTCTGACCGAGGGCCGTTAATCCACCATTACCGGTTCAGCCCAGCCAAAGTTGGGCGAATCAGGGACAAAGTAGGTAGAGAGCGCGAAGTTCTGGGAAAAGGGGATGGGGCGCAGTTTGCAGGAAGGCCGGTGGACTGGAGTTGCCGTGCAGAGTTCGAAAGCTCGGAAGCCGAGGATCCCGAGCAAGCCCAGAGCCTTTTTGACGAGATGGCAAGAGCCTCAATGCTTGGCATTGGTGATGCGCGGTGCGATGTCCATGGCGACTGAGGCTTCGAAGTCGGAGCCAACTGAGGCGGCGAGGGCTGAGTTGGACGCTTCCTCAATTCACGGCTGGCGGAGCCAGTTCGACCGACTTCCAGCCCGATTGAGGCTGTAGCCTTGTCAAGCAGACGACGCACCGCCAGAAGCGCCTTCGCCGTCGCAGGGGAGGCTCCCTTCAGAATTTCAGAAGTTGTCGGTTGTCGGAGGGCGACTAGTTTTGCATGTTTACATTTGTCGGTGCCTGGTAGGCCCGCTACTGGATCCACTACGGTCTCTTATGATGTGACTCCAATATCGATCGCAGGCAGCACGGAGAGGTGAAGCGCTGGCACCGGCATGTTTGAGAGAGCGACACGATAAAGCACCAAAGAACCAGTGGCAGGGCTATTCCCAACAGAGAACCCTTGTCCTTCGAATTCAACAGCCAGTTGTTGCAAGGAGCAAAGGGAGTGAAAAGGGCCCGCAAAGGAAACACATAATTCAGAAGCCATCGTGGCAGTCTTGGGCAGCGTCTATGTGTGGCTTTGGCACGTGCTTGTGCAGAAGGAGGGCGTGCAGATGAGGCAGCTAGCTGTCGGGAATTTATGCTGTGTCCTCATTCCCTAGCGCCTTCCACATTGAAGGCCAAGCTTCTCAGAAGAAGAATGATGGTTTGGCCCTGAAGTGTGCGCTGTGTCGACTTCAGAGCAGATGTGCAGCCAATCTGCTGTCGTGATCCAGGCTGCCGGGATTGTTCCTGATGCAGGCCAGTATGCTCGAGTTGCTCAGGCCACTCGGTTCGGTTTCCCGCAGATGTTGCTTAGGCATCCGTGCTGACCTTGTGCGAGCCTTCGGCGCAGCAGCGGCCACAGCTCGAGGACCACAGCCGCCTTCACCTGCTGTTCGGTAAGCATTGCGCCATTCCGTTCCGGAAAGGTGACGAGCGAGCTAGGCTTCTTTCGCACGTACGCGCCCTGGAAAAGCATCGATCCCTCCGCTTGATTGTCACTAACTGCCCAGGCATGGCGGGAGGTGCAGGAGGCCAAGGCGCAAGGAGCGCAACCTCTGCCAGCTGAACTGCTACATGCCTTGCCCAGAGCTCAGAGCCGGTACAGGCCCTGTCAACGTCTAGGTTGGGAGGCGAGTCAGAGCACCTTCAGTAGTGAGCCTCAATGCGTTTGCTACCGAAACGGTGGAGCGGGAGGGTGATGCCTCGGAGCTTTCGTTGAAGTCTTGTTACTCGTCTTGACCATTCTTGAACATGCACCATGCCTGCGTCCAGAATAATTCGGGCATTGGGCAGCCAGGCTTGCAGCTTATTGCTCCGCCGACTTGGCCAGAAGCCTGGACTGCGCTTTGAAGTACAGGCCATGTGACTTGTGACCCAGCATGTCACTCTGAGGCAGGCCATGCACAAGAAGTGCTCATGATGAGCCCCACAGCTTCATTGGTGCCATGGTTTCGTTCCAATCAGTGGAAATTTCGACGAGGCCAGTCACAGCTTGGAGTGGAGCCGGATGAAGTGGCGTACGCTATCGTCCTGTCAGCGTTGCCCCGAGCACGGCGAAGTTTCGATTCTGGGATCCTTTGTCGTCGGGGAAACGAAGCCAGGCATTGGAGGTCGCCTCACCAACAGAGTTTCGGCGCCTGTGGTTCCATATGCGGAACATGCCGGAACGTCTGAGGCTCAAAGAGGCTCAAAGACTTTTCCAACAACAGGGGCTGAGGACGCGTTTGATGCCCTGAATCCCAGCTGGATGCCTCGAGGTCCTGGCGAGGTGCTTCTGCAGCGTCCTTCTCGGATCGAACCCTTTGCTTCGCTGTCTGTGCCGGGTGTGCTGCTTTGCCCAAGGTCAGCACTTCGCGTGGCCGTGAAGCTTCAGGATCTCGCCTTTGCACGATCCGTGAGGGACTCTGCTGGAACGCCTTTTTGGGTGGCCAACCCCTCTCCGCCCTCTTGCGGGTCGAGTGCAAACCGAGCGCCCAAGGTTTTGGAACTGCTCTTCCAGGCCGAGGGCTGCCGAGCGCCCTGAAGTGACGAGCGTTGCGTCTTCAGGCCAAGGCGTCTCCAGAGGCTGCCACTATGGCAGCGCTTGGGGCGGTGACAGGTGCAGCCCAGGGAGAGACCCTTCGTTTTGTCCGGGGTCTCGTTGGAGGTCCGGAAGCTGCTGCCTTGCGCCGTCTCCTTGCTGCGTTTAGCAAGGTGCGCAGGTTTCTCACCCTTTTGCTGAAGCCGTGAAGAAAGAAGATGGTGCCAGGTGGGGTCTCGCCAAGCCCTGACCAACCAGAGGCAAAGCTCCGATGGAGATGGTGTGGCTGCGGAAAAAGAGCGGCCAGGTCGGGAGTAGGGCAGCATCCGAGCCATGACAGCTCCGGTCACCCACTGCTCATGCTCGCTTCTGCGCCACTCCGGCTCAAAGCGTCGCAGAAGGGTGGGACTTGCTCTCGTCGGAGTAAGCCGTGGCCCCAGGACCCAGAAGACACCTAGATCCGGATGTGTTTCTGCAGTGGTGCCACAGACCTGACGGGCATGCCTTGCAAGCATCGTCCTCCCGGCAGATCGAACATGTTCGTTTGTCAATGCAGGTGATCTTCATGGTGCCTTCCCCAGTCCTCGACGACAGCGGTAAGCCAACTGTGTGTCTCAGGGGAAATGTTTTGTTTGTTCGCTGGCTAGGATGTCCAGGAGTCCGCCCAGGCATCTCATGTTGAGCTTTACATGGTTCCTGCTTGTGGTGCGAGCACTGTGGTTCTTCCATTTCTGCCGCAGACGTGTAGTTGGACACAGGTGGCAGAGCCGCCCGGAGAAAGTCCTGCACCGCGCTACTTGATAGCAAGCAGAGACAATCGAAGAGGTGCTAGCCATGTCTTGACGAGCATCTAGGCGGGAGGCGCCAGAGCGTGCTCTCAATCTTCGTGCCATGCCTCAGAAGTGAATGTGCAAGCAGCGAGTGGATAATGTCACGGCATTACCGACGATGTTGACACGACGGGCATGCCCCAGGACGTCCAAACAGACAAGCCAGACCAGAAGCCGCCCTCCAGAGAGGGATCATTCCTTCGGCGGCTCACGGGCAGTTTCGTGCACGAGGAGCCCGGCCTAGCGCTTTTGCGGCAAGGAGCGGCGGCAAGCGCAGTCTGATTCAACTCAGGGCCTTGGGCCACAACCTGCAGCACTCGTAGCTGACTTCCGCCCGAGTAGGCAGCTTTTGCACCTGGTTCGCGAGAGCTTCTGGTAGATGTGCTGGCTGGGAAAGGTTTGGCTCAGCTAAGGATGAGGCCCAGAAGCAAAGATGGAAGGAGATGATGCAACAGGCTGCCCGTCTTCCGGCTTTTCGTGCTATTCCCGGGATGATGTGCATCTCTCCGTCCCGCACCTTTCTTAACTGAGCTGCAGGCTGGCGAATCTTTGCCGCTATAATTCGTTGTAAAGCCTTGTCCTGTGGGCGAGGCAGGAATCTCCTCACGATCTGGCTCTGACAACGCGGCTGTCCAAGAAGAGGATGGAGGAGACGACGAGGCTAAGCCAGGAGGTTTGAAACGAAGCCTGAGCCTGAGAAGCTTTGCCACGCCAGAGAGCTCAGCAGAAGCATTGTTGCAGCACCAGCGAGCGCAGGTGGAACTGGCTGGAGCAGCATGCCGAAAAGGGATCGGAAAGTACAAGACCGCCTTAGGGCCTTGAATGGAAATCGATGTCGCTTCCTTAGAGAAAAGGGGTGCTGGAATAACGTCGAGTCTATGACGAGCTGCAGGCCTCAAGTCTAGACTTCTGGCGGCGACCGTCCTCGAGTCGGAGGCGTTTGATTTCGCGACTCGCCAAGCAGGAAGGAATACAGCGGCCATCGTGCACCTGCAACACAATCGTGCTGCAAGCCGGTCGATTGGCAAGCTTAGACAATAGAGTTTGTGCTGAATCCACAGATGAGCCATGGAAAGTGCTAGACAGGACCGGGGAAGTGCGAGATTGTACTCAAAGTGAGAAATGCAGCAGAGTGCAGGGATTCAATCGGGACAGCAATACCATGACGATACTCACAGCGACAGAACAACCACTAGCAACGAAGAGACGGATTGCCATGGATCAGCGTGGAAGGCTAAACATATCTCTGGGCACTAGCTTTCATTGTCGAAGCATATGTTCACCCTGCTTTCACAGGGCGCTGCTGGCATGCTTGGAACATGCAACATGCAATACGTACACATTGATTTGACAGATTTCTGCCTGGGCTACTCAGGTGATGATCGTCATCATCCTCGCAAATGCAATCACCATAGGTGTGGAGCAGAATATCCGTGTTGAGGGCGTGCCTTCTTTGCATCCAGCTTGTGTTGGCTATGAGAGAGCAAGCAGGATGTCCAGCAAAACTGTGTCATCTTCTAGTTCTTAAGACATTCTGTGCAGTTCAGGGCTTTGATGTACTATGCGCTGTCTGTCACGCCAAAGCGTCATGATCCCAAGGCAACATCATGCTGGGCTTTAAGGAACGGTTGCGCACATAGAAGACCCATTCCACCAAGCTCCGCTCATCCGAGGGCAACACCAGCAGCGGTCCCCTGAACGTCTTGGAGCATATCTTCCTCGTACCTCGGAAAGCCAGATTGTTTTTCTGTGATTTTGGTGACCTCGACAGTTCGCCAATATCACACTGAGGTGATATACACTCTTGAGATTTTCCTGCGCTTCTTTGTGAACGGTCCATGCAAATCTATTCGAGACCATTGGGTGAAGTTTGACACAGTTCTGGTGGCTTGGTGGCATCGTTTCCTGCCGATGTTTTGTGTCCCTCACCACACGCTTGTCGTCACAGGTAATTTTGGGCTGGCTCGTCCTATGGATCCTGCCGGCAACTGGGTCGCAGAAAGTCAGGGTGCTGGATGTTGCAAAAGTCGGAGCTTCCACTAGAAGGTGGCAATGTCGCCTGCAGATGAGACGGGCGAGTGGTCCAGCTTCTTAACATTGACGCTCGGTTTGCAGTGCCTGGTTCCATGAATTGCATGCTGGCATAGAGCCACGATTACCCGCTGAGGCGGACGCTTAGATTGCTGCGCAGCTTGGCAAGCAATGGGATGAGCTGACAGATGTGACGGAAGTTGATGGCTTTCTCAAAAAACTCAGGCTTAGCGAGAACCGCCCGTATCATTACTAGAATGCATGCCTCCTGGCTGCAGCTGCCGAGTGGTGGAGGTTGGCAGTTTTCCGTGGAATCACGACGTGTGCAATCTGCAGGATCCTTGTTGTGCGGAAGCCAAGGAACTCTGGATGCTGGTGCAGATGGTCACATCCTGTGCAGCTTGGAGTGGACTAGTGTGACGGGTGCCAACGCACGTAGGTACGTGGAAGAATGAGTAAGCCAGTCTCATAAGAACGGGCATGAGCCGTTTAGCTCAGGCTAGCACAATGGTTTACACGCTTCTGCTGCCGTCTCAGCGCTATGCTTCTTCTGTGGGCCAACTCATCCTTCCCTGCTGGAGACTTGCGGTTTGAGTTCTATCAGGTTGCTAATCACGGTGTTGTACCTGCCCCTCGGATTGAACCCTGCTGGCCAAGAGTTCAGAACCCTTGCTTGATCGGGCGAATGCCAAAATGCCCAGAGAGGCGAAGCTCAACGTCGTACCTGCATGTCAGTGGCAGCTGCAGCATCTGTGCATATGCGTGTATTTATGTTGCAAATGCAGTAGCGGGAGTCGCAGAGACTGCGCATCCAAGGTTCTCGTTGCTCTTCGCAACCTGGCATGGTTCAATCACGTGTTGAATCTCTCGCATTGCCAAGTGCAGGAAAATATCTTGGGTGAATACGGCACGAATAATGTAACCAAGAAGCGGATGCCAGGTAAGAGATTGCGAGGGCAACAGGATAACAAATGAGGGCGGGGAGGCACAGAATTGATGCCTGCACACATTGAGCATGTAAAGCAGCAAGTGTGTTCGTATAGTAGTGCAAGCCGGTGGTGGTGGTGGTGGTGGTGGTTGTTTTAGTACTAGTAGCAATACTCGTGGTTGTGGCGGTGGTAGTGGTGGTGGTAGTAGTAGTAGTAGTAGCAGTAGCAGTAGCAGTAGTAGTAGTAGTAGTAGTAGTAGGAGGAGGAGGAGGAGGAGTAGGAGTAGGAGTAGGAGTAGCTGTAGCAGCAGCAGCAGGA